CCATAGTTTCACGCTCAGGTTTAGAAATACTATAAAGACGACTATTGGGTAACGGAGCTCCAGGCAGGAGATCGATTGCACAATCGTATGGTCTGTGAGGTGGTAAGGACGCAGCTTTAGCCTTGCTAAACACCTGCGCTAGATCGTGATATTCTGCCGGAACTCCAGAAAGATCAGGAGGATCCGCCTCATCGCCGTTAGCGGGGGGAGGACCTGGAGGGACGGCAGAGCGGAGACAGATAGAATGACACGAAACAGACCAGGATTCAATGCGTCTGTCGGACCAGTTTATCTCCGGATTATGCTGCTGCAACCATTCGAACCCCAACACTAATGGTGAGTTAGCCATGGGAAAGACGTAAAAAGAAATGGATTCCGAATGGTTGCCAGAAACTGTTAATTGCATGGGTCTTGTCTGATGGGTTATTTGCGGCAGAGCCTTACCGTCGAGAGCGGAAACACGAAGAGGGGTGCGTAGGGGAACCATTTCTATGGCCATCTGTTGAACAACACTGATATCTAGTAAGTTGCGTTCACAGCCGGAATCCAACAATGCTGAAAGGGTTAAAGAACGGTCTTGAAATTGAATGGTTGCGGGCAACAATAAACGAGGTGAGTCTGTTCTCATCTGATGGTCCGCCAGTTCCCTCGTAGTTACTGGCGGACCCTGGCTTTTAACAGTGTGGGACAGTCGGCAAGGAAGTGTCCCGCCCCCCCACAATAGAGACATAGTTTTGCCCGCATCCTCCGCTGTCTCTCCTCAGGCGTCAATCTGGCTTGGCCAATTTGCATTGGTTCTGGATCAGGAGAGCTCTGCTCTCTCTCTACCGGGACCGAGAGGCGGGGAGCAGGAAACGATCTGGGTCCCGTGCTTCGGTTGTTTCTTTCCTTAGCTCGTGCACGAATTCTATTATCTAATCTTATAGATAATTTTATTAAATCCTCAAGAGAACCGGGCTCATCTAATGTTGCCAGTTCGTCCTTTAGAGAATCATTTAAAGCATCCAAATACACGCTTTTTAGTGCGGGGGCGTTCCACCCCGAGGCAGCCGCTTGGATGCGGAAATCAATGGAAAAATCTATCACAGATCTTTGCCCTTGTTTCATCTTCAACAGAGTTCGAGAACTCAGGGATCTATCAGTCTCTTGATTAAATGCTTGTTTAAACTCTGTTAAGAATTCATCAAAAGAACAACCATACCCAGAGGAAGAGGAAAACTTGGCTTCTGCCCAGTCTAGAGCGCGGTCAGTGAGATGTGCAATAATGTAAGATATCTTTGCTGAATCCTGGGTAAATCTGTGTGGTGAGTGATTGAATTGAATATTACATTGCATCAAAAATCCTCTACATTTCTGAGGATCTCCGTCAAACCTGGATGGACTTGGCAATTGACAGTCGGAAAACGTGGACTGGGCTCCGGGAATGGGATCTGGAGTCTGCGAAGGTGACTGTGCGGACTCTGGAGCGGGCTCTGCGGCGGATGTCGGAGGGAAGCGACTGCGGAGAAAACTGGTTAGTTCAGCCAACCGAGTATTTGTATCTGCCTGCCGATTACCCAGATCCTGAAGTACAGCCTCGTGGTGTTGGAGTGTTCTGCGGACTGTTTCTGCTGGGTCAACCGTTTGGCCAGAGTGTTCTGTCATGATGGGTCTGATACTCTTTGCCCACATGCAGAAACACCCGCGGAGAGGCTAGTGAAAAGTCCAAAGGTTTAT